GTGTAGTAAAAAGAAACCCATTATTTTTCCATTCAATTTCATGCAAAAATAATGGATTTCTTTTTACTACACCTAATATGACTACACCTAATATTGTATGATTTGAGTATAATTTTTTTTCATGATTATTGAATGATCCGTGATATATAATACACTTAGACTGTTTGACGCGAGATTCTGTATTTTATAATTTATAGAAAAATTTATATTAAATTCTTGGTTTATATTTGAAAGATTTACTGTAACAGTGGATTAACTCATATTTTGTAAATGGACTTAAAGCGATGTAATATTGATATTTTTCCCACTTCTCTAATTTTCATTTGAAAAAGTTTATTTTAAAAGCTCCGTTTCATAAAATATGTTAATTAATCTAGCAGCAAGTCTTTCATTTACACTTAATTCTTTACAATTAATTCTTAATTAGTACATACAATTGGTATTGGTCATTTGTAACTTGCGCATTTCTTTTCTTTGAAATAGGAGAACTTTGGTAAATAATGGTCTCTAATGTTTCCTTTTTTTTTAAATACGTAATTTTATAAATATTTTCTTAAAATGTTAAAATGATGTAAGAATCACTTGTAAAATTAACTGATTCATTATGTGTATTAAGGGTTAATATTTATTTGTTATAATGTAAATCTTTCTGTATATTATTATATGTTATACTTGATTATGATATAGTTACTTTATTATAGGCATCCTCCATTGGAAGATTTGATAGACAATGTATTCATCAAGGATGAGAGAATGGAGCGCGAGAGCGCAATGTACAAAATTTTGACTGGTAACTTTACGGATCCACTTGAAGATATCGACAACGAGTATGCTAATGTTGATTTAGAATTGGTTAAAAAATATCTCCGTGAGGATGGGGAGGTTTTAACCGATTCAGAAGATGATAATCAGTTAGAAGTCAACCAACAAGAAACCAAGAATGAGGGCAACTCTCGTATGCAAGAACAAGAGAGATCTTATGTACCTGGCATAAGAAAATTATCGTTTGGCTTTCCTAGAAAGTCTTCTTTAGACAAAGCTCAGCAAGCTATGTGCCTTCGTGTTTTATTAAGATTATCTGACAATGAAAAAAAGAGCATGTCCGATGAAGAGAGAAAAGAGTTCGAGCAATACATGGTGAATAGACATTATTGAGTTTAAATTTCTATATTTTTTAATATCCAGTTCAATATTCTCTTTTTTATAAGATTAAGCAAGATAAAAAAGAAAAATAATTTAAATTTACTTTTATTTATGAACAATTTAATAAACTTCTGATTTATTATTGAAATTAAAATTAACTTCTTCCAGGCATTGCAAAAAATAATATCTGAAGAACAGAAGGACTTTCTAGATTTTGCAAAGAGTCAGTGGGATGATGCTTTCAATTGGAAAATCAAATGTAATAAATTTGTGATAACAAAATGGAACACAAAAATGCAAAGATTTAAAAAGTTACCGAGATATTATGTTGAATCTATAAGCGTACCACTTTCTGTACAAAGGACTCATTTAAAAAATCAAGATATTAAAGTAAAGATCTCATCTTGTTTGCAACAGGTAAGTTATCACAATTGATATTTATCTGATGTATTCAATTTGGATATGTATATTATTTTAATGTTTTCAGGAATCCTTTTCAAAGGTGGTATTACCGAAACTCGATCAGCAACATATATTGTTCATGAAAAGTGCATCATTGCTAGCAAAATATCCTCCATGTATCGAACCTGACAAAGTGATGCAACATTTTAGATTACCCGTGAGCGAGGATACATATTGCGAGAATCTTGCAATGGAAACTGGAGCAGATATTGTTATTTCATCTAGTGGCCTCAAGTGTCTACTGAGCAACATAAATTCGGATCATTCTGGCTCATGGCTTGTACCGGTGGTTGTGAAATCGCATTGTGGAAAGAATATTGTTTATATTGATAAAAGATTACCACCTACCATTGCCACTATACCACAAAAGAATTCTTGGATATATAAATATATCCTTAGATACTATTTTGTTAAAAGTAAATCATCAAAAAAGTGAGTATAAAGCATAAATTAGAAACCATAATATTATATAGAAATTGAATTTGTTATGTATATATTACGACAAATATTTTAGAACAAAACATACTATAGAAGACAAACTTGAGAAGGCTGCAAATCATTCAGACTCGGATAATAACGATAATAATTTATCTAATTATTATCTTAAAATCTTTGATGAAGATTTGTGTTTATCAGATACAGATGATCTAACAAGTGACAAAATTGATTCCAAAATAAATAAAAAAAATGTTTCATATAATCTTTTCGAAATAGGACAAACTGATCTTCCAGAACATGAACGAATAAAACATGGAGTAAAGGTCTATCAAATGTTGGTTCGTACAAAAACAGATGGCGTTGAAGTAAGAATATTTCTCGTATTTATATTAATAATAAGTATTGAATTATATAATATGAAATCTGTCTTTGCTAGATGTTATCAAACAATAAATGTCAGCCTTTAATATTATCACCAAAGATGGAGCATCAGCTAGAATTAGGAGCTGAAGCTGTAACATTAGAGGAAGGCTTGCATCAGTGGGCATCATTAAAATTTAGACCAAACACATTATTAGCTAGAGGTATTATTTTATGATTGTAATTATATTATGTCTATATGTATTGATTCATTATTCTCAAAATGGATTACAATCTTATGCTACCCTTATACCACATAATACTTACACTTAATTCTTTAATTAGCTTCTTATAAATCATAAATATAAAGTATATAAAGTATATAAGAGATGAGAATTGGGATCATTTCTGAGATTTGTCGACTAATCTACCATTTTTGTTCTTATATGGAATTACTCGCATGACTATATATATTTTTTGTATCTAGTCAGGATAGAAACTAGTACTTCAGAAATAATACAAATAGAAAGACATACAACAATATCATTGAGCAATGAGATAAAACGACTTTATAATATTAAAGTAGAAGATTCTCTACATATTTTGTATAATATAATCGAAGGATTGTCATCCTTAACTCCTGGCCGATATATTATGAGGCATGTCCCACAAAATGGACCGTTTGCTTATATTTATGAAAATACAATCGAACATAGGTAACTGAAATGAACGTAACTCTAAACTGTTAAAAGAATATGTATACAATCAGTCATAATCATTCGAATGACAGATATTTTATACTATACCCCAATTTTAAAAGCTACGTAAGCATTCTATATTGCTAACACAAACAATACTTTATTATAATTGATGTTGTTTTAGTATAATTGATGCTATTCTTGTTATATATTGTAATTGTAAGTATTCTAAATTTAAATTATTTAAATAAATTATTTAAATTTAAATTATTTAAATAAATTATTTAAATTTAAATTATTAAGGTAACATTTATCGAATTATAAAAAAATTATTCTTGAATAGATGTATTGGATATGATTTCGTTTATCTACTACAACCTATTGTAATTAGAAATAATTCGCAATGAACGTTGTCTCAGTAATTTAAATTTAAAATAAATACAATTACAATCAATGTACAAAAAAAACAACGTCAATTATTCAAATAAAATATTATATATGTTAATAATATGAGACATTTAGTTTTTAAAATCAGAGTATACATAAAGTATATATAAAATATTTGTCATTCTAAGATGTATCTGCTTAGATATCAGAACATATAAATTTTATCTAACAAAGAAATATATGTTCGGAAATACTTTTCAGGAAAAATGTTTTCGATTTACATTGGGCTTGCCAGACCGAGTTTCAAACAATACCTAAAACACCATGGCCACCTATAGACAATATGATGTCAACACCATCACTTAGATGTTTCCAAAGAATGCCTGCGATGTTTTTTCCAATTTTGTATCAAAAACAATTCAAACTTAAGGCCGGCTCAAGCCGGCCTAGAGGACGTCCAAGAAAAAACGCTAGTGGCATTAACAATCAAGGTTAATGATTCTTTTAATATTTTAAACTGAAATATATCAATTGAAAGAGAAACGGTAAATATTGACAAAATGGCTCCGATAATTTTGTTCTTGACAGATCATATTGTATGTTGTCCTAGGGCACTGTCCTGAATAGCAATCGAAAGATTTTAGAAGTCGCTCATTATTTATATATTAAGATATTATTAATAAATAAAATTGATGATATAAAGGTGTGTTTAATTCTAATTTTATTTTTACCTAATATAAATATTATATTATTTGCATTTTTGTATATTTAATTTTGAATATGTAGACTTCTTTTGTCCTTCCAAGCATGCACTTTGCAAAATTATAAACTACATGATTTTTTTTAATATCCTATATACTGAAATATATAATGGCTTTCTATGTAAAGTAAATACTTGTAAAACACCGTTCCCTACTTACAATGCGAAATGAGGTTTATAATTTGTTATATTATTATATAAATATTAAATAAATATCTTTTCAATATGATTTATTTATTCCGCGTAGTTAACGTGAGTTCATTATAAATTTGCCTTTTCCTTCTTACTAATTTTCCACCTTTAATTATGAATAATTTTTTTAACGAATGACGATCAAAACCTCACTTCTGAAGATTATTTAGAAGAGTACTCTTAACAATATTAAAATCAAAATCGGAGTTGTTGTCAATATTTATCCTATTTTAATTATATTGAATTGTTAGTTAACAGTATATATATATATTTTTTTTATTATTCACCATTTTTTATATATTATTTTTCATTCCAATGAAAAATACTCTCATAGCATCTTATAATATTTTTAGAATTATAAAAACACAAATTCATAAGAATTTTTATGCTGGAGGACGATGAATAAAATAAACCGATTTCGACAAAGTGTAACATAAATTACTCTTATAGTTATAAAATTGATACTATTGTATTTAATTCAAAAACTATAAGATTACATGTAATTTACTTTTCAAATCAAACTCAGTTAATTTTACTTATTATCTTTATGAAGATTTCTAAAAAAAAAGATTTTCAACTTCTTTAAATTTTAGAAGTTTTAGAGATCTTATAAAGAAATCTTAGAATATTTATAATCTTAGAGAATTTACATATATAAAGAATTCTGGAAAAAATTTAACTATGTCAGAATCTTTAAAAGAATTTTAGCAATATTTTAGCAATATTTTTCCTTTATGAAAATGTATCATTGTATGTCAAAATTGTATATTTATAGCATTAGAAGGAATATACTCAAAATAATTGGAGTGAGATATGAAAAAAAATAAAATTAATCAAAATCAATCGAAATCAAATTTAAATATGGCAACAGCTTAAAAGAAAACAAACAGAAAGTTTGAAAAACGAACTATTATTTATATTAATTATTATATATTATTCATAATAGATAAATTTATTGAAAAAAAATTTTGTAAAATATTTAACAAATTTTATATAAAAAAAAATTACAAATTTAATCAAGAATTTGCCATATAGAATATGTCATAGAATCAGTAGAATGATGATAAAAATATTACAAAATTTATTTATTATTATTCAAAGAAAAATAACAGCTATAATGAAACAATTGCAAGTCTATAGCAAGTACATCAGTTTTGGCAGCAAAAATGAAATAAAAAAACCTGGATTCAAATATTAATCTGCTGCAATTTCTGTTGGAATTTGTTATTAATTTACAGATTAATTATCAATTGTTACTTACTAAGATTCTTCTCAATTGTATATTATAATTGTACAGATTATATTTTGTCCATATTTTTGTATAATTTTTTAAAATAAATGTACTTATGAAGTTCCAAATATGTGAAAAGATTTTTTTTCCAACTATGATTCTTATTATTTTTTTTTATTTGCCATTTGATTATCCGAGCGTGGATAATTTCTATTCTGTTTTTCGGATAATAAAAGTACTACTTTATTTCTGGTACTAATTTTGTAAATGTTTAAAATATGCAATATATTTAAAATACTGAATCAAACTTCTCGTTTTTAGTTCCTGTATCTCCCCGGAGAAGTGATCGGCTAAGAAAAACGAATACAACGTAAAGGACAAAATGCAGCATAATTTTCTAAAGATTTCTATTTTGAAGAGAATTGTTTTTAAAATGGTTGTTTATTTTACAATAGAATCCCTATATTTTTTATTCTATCACTATTTCTCCTTTTATACTCTCTCCCATTTTATTACATTTATATTTAAACATGTCTAAATTGAAAATATATACATAATTAATTTAAAGTAATGACATTTTCTTTCTATATGTGATTAAGTGTAAAATAATGAGAAAACAATGTAGAAGGAAAATCATAAAAGTAAAGCAAAAAAATATATTTAATTGTGTGCAATTGATATACATACAAAGCATAGCTTTAATTTGATATACGTATATATGAAATACTGTTGAATACTCATGTTATGGACATGTTAAATCTAAATGTTCATATTCGCGAATTTTCCTCTGTGGTTACATTCTTCTCTTTTTAACTGCATAAGCAGAATAATCATGTCTATTTTTCATTTGTCTTTTTACCTATGCGGTTATATGGCAAATGTGAAAGAGAAATACAGGGAAAGTTTTCTTGATATTAATCTGTTTATAGATAGATATATTTGTTTATACATAGATATTTGACATGTATTTATAATTTATTGTGTACAGAATAATTAATAAAAGCTGAATTTTTTCTTCTAATTTTACAAGAATACAAATGCGTTTTGTAAAAATGTTTTACGTTGGAATATTTTAGTTTACTTTACAAACTGTGATCTATAAGTATATTTATATTTACACATACAGATGTATAAGCATAAATGTATAAGCTTATCCGCTGTTTTTTAGTCAGAAAAACACATTTTTTTTTCTAAAAAGCAAAAACAAATTTATTCAAAGTACTTGTCTTCGCTAACTATACATTTTTCCCATCTTTCGAGCAATTTGTGTATACCATGCTAAAAAAATTCCTCATCTTTCAAGGTAAACCATTCATCAAGCCATTTTCGGACGTCTTCGTAAGAATCGAAGTGCCGCTCAGCGAGCGTGTGGCCCATCGACGAAAACAGGTGATAGTCAGATAGGTGATAGCCAGGTCTGGTGAGTAAGCGGGATGGGGCTCTTGTAAGCAACTGGGACTCACTTCCCAGTTGAGTGTCTCCAAGTAGTTTTGGACTATTGTTGACGTGTGCGATGGTACGTTGTCGTGGAGGAAAATCAGCTTGTCATGTCTTTTCCGATAATGCAGTCTTTTTTCACGCAGAGCACGGTGCAATTTGATCAGTTGTTGGTGGTAGCGGTGAGCATTAACAGTTTCACTAGGTTTTAATAGCTCATAGTAGATGACACCCTCCTGATCCCACCAAACGCACAGCATCGTCTTCTTCCGAAGCGATTTGGTCTTGAGGAAAAAGTTGATGGTTGGGCGGGATCAATCCAAGATTTCTTGCGTTTAGGATTCTGAAAATAGATCCATTTTTCATCGCCTGTCACAATTCGATGCAGGAACGATTTTCTTTTTTGTCTGGCAAGCAGAATTTGGCATGTGTTTTGTCGTCGCTCCATCTGCCTATCGTTCAGTTCATGCGGCACCCATTTTCCTTCTTCTTTTGAATTTTTCCCATGGCATGTAGCTGCATGGAAATGGCTGCTTGAGAAACACCCAATTGTTCGGCAAGCATTTTTTTGCGATTGGGTATCGTCCTCGTCTAAAAGAGCCTGTAATTGACAGTCCTCAACCTTTCTGGGCCGATTTCACGCTTCTTGTTACTCAGATCAAAAGTCATCATTGAACCGGCGAAACCAATCTCTGCACGTTGTTTCCGATAAAGCATTGTCGCCATAGGCCTCCACAAGCATTCGATGCGATTCGGCAGCCGATTTCTTCAAATTGAAACAGAAAAACAAAGCTTCCCGCATATTTAGCAAAAAACTAAACATGATTACGAAAGAAAAAATGCATGTTGCTGTATGAAATTGCTGATGATGTGCACTGGTTAATGTTGACAGATGTCAAACACATAAAAAAAAGTGTGTTGTGTGCCCAGGGTAGCTTTGTACGCTCACTAATGCCACCTATGAGCAAACAGCGGATTTAAGCTTATACACCTGGTATGTATTTTGTTTTCTGTTTATATGAAAAAAGCAGGGAAATAAATAAACAATATAGAATGTTCTTGATTTTATTTTTATTGATTTCTCAATCATTTCTCATTCTTACGATGAGATTCTTTATGTAAATCCTTTGATAAAAATAATATATAAAATATAATTTAATTAAATATAATTTGTATATGTATATATAAACGAGATTGAAACGTAGAGCGTCAAGAAATTTTACTGGCCTACTAATAACAAGTAATACAGTAAAGATTTTAAAAAAGTATTATAAAAATAATATTTAAAAATGCAGAAAAGTACTTTTAAAAATTATTCATTAGTATAATAAGCAAATATTAAACTGGAATCCAGTGCAAGTATATATAAAGTTGTTTTTTTTATAGATTATGCATCAATAGGCAAGTGTGTACCTTGAACATTTAATAACTTTTTCAAAATTATGTGGAAACTAGGGAGAGAAGAGCCTTCTTGTAATCTCCCGATGTGTCTCCCTGTAATATATATATATATTTATACTAATATATATATTTATACTCATTAGTAATTTATTGCAAAAAATAATTTAAATAATAGAATGAATTCTTCGGAAGTATATAATTTGGAGTACATACAGCTATCCAGCTTTCCAGTGACTTTCCGTAGCGTTCCTCGAATGCCTTTTTAATATCTCCCAAATCGATTTCACTTCGAGACACAATGATACGAATTAGTGTTCGATCCTTTGTACCTATGCCGTGCATACTGGCGTATAGACGTTCAGCGAAAAATCCAACTTTTGACTTCACGCATTTGACTGTCAATCAAAAATTAAAATAATTCGTAATGTATAGATGAATATGTACATTAATTATATATTAATGAAAAATATATGGATAAATACGAGTAAACTAACTGGGAGCATTCTCTTTTCATGCTGTAAAGTTATACTATATTTATATTCAATCAGGATCTTATACAGATTATACTACATTTATGCAGAAAATCTATATAGTAACAAATATTTTTATATATTATATGTATTACATATGCATGTAATAGTTGTCATGCAACATTGTTAGAGAATATATAACATGTACAGGATTCAATACCATATAGGTATTCATACCATTTTCACATGCATTTTATGAACCAACTCAAATTATGTTTTTCTTTAATAATTATTACACAATAATGGAGATATCTTTTCCTTTCATATTAAAATCGCAAATATTATTATTAATCTGAATTAAAAAGAATCTAATAATTGGATTATTATATACAAATGAAGGAGAACAGACTAAAAAATTAGGAGGTATGCCTACACATTTTACGCTAAAAGTTGTCAGGGATCTATATGTATTCGTATCCAAAAATGTGTCCAATTCTAAGAATTATCATAGCAATTGTATGAATATTTCTATAGGTAAACAAAAGCCATGTAAAATCTTGCTGCGGTAACTTGCCTCGACCCTGTGAAAATTTTTCGATCGTTTAATGAAAGTTCGCAGAAAGCGAACGTAAATTTGTCAAGTATTCATGAAAATTTCGATTCGTGATATCATATTATACTATGGAGATTATTGATACTTCGTTGCATTCAAGGGACATATAATTTCCTTGTATCGAACTGCTATGTCAACCACTTGCTCATATTTCACACTGAAAGACACAATTAGTTTCGTCTAAGTATAATGAAAAGGGAAATATAATCGAGCAAGTTTATCTTGATTCATATAATCATATCAATGAATTCTGAAATACGCGTGTTTATAAAGTAATATGAAACATAAAGGCTAGTTACATTATGAAATTAGTAGCTGTAATGACTCATAAATAAGAATGTTAATTGGCATACTCATGACAGTCGGAATAGATATGTAATTAGTGCGTTTATATCTTATTTGGAAACTTTACCTATTCCAAGCAAGCCTTTCTCGATGCTGCCAGAAAATTCTTTCTTTATGGCAGCCTCTATGTCATGCCCAGATATTTTCTCATACTCGATAAATGTTTGTCGCAGCTGCTGATAGCTGCGAGATACCAAGATCGCGTTGAATTGAGATTCGTCTGTTCCCCACTGTTTTTCACCTGTATCAAGATTAAAAATAAAATATTTAATATAAAATATAACATGAAATACAAAGTGACAAACATTTTGATTTTTTTTTAATTAGTAGAATCAAAATAAATAAAAAAATAAATTAAAAACTTAAAAAATTTCGTAACATACCAGCTTCGTACAATGCTTGGGCATCGGCAATTGCTTGGGCATGATCAATTCCCTGATTTTCGTCTCTGTTTCCCTGCACAAGGGATACTAGCAATCTCTTGAAATGGCCCGATGTATCATCCTTCAGATCGTGCTCAAGCGCTTTGCCATATACTATTCAGAGAATCATTTTTTGATTAATTAAGAAATATTTTTTTAATTAATTAAGAAAATCTAATTATTTAATTAAAATTTTTTAAATTATTTAAAATACATAATAAAAGTACATAATAAATTGAGCTAACAAAAATCTTACAATTTTCATAAAATGTGGCGATCGTACGGACGCCATAATTGCTGAGAGTACACAGAATCTCGACAATCGCCTCCTCATCGGTACCCATACCGCTGATCGCATCGTGCAGCTCCTTAGCATAATAATGTGGCAGTGGGGTCATAAGGGCAACAATAACATCCTCCAGTTTCCCAGTTAGTTCGCTTTTTAAATCGCTGATCAAATCCTTTCCATACAAAGTCTTGAAAGTCTCCGCGATCTCCAGTCTCTGTACAATGCCTCTTTTTGTAAGTACGTCGATAATCGCCTTTTCATCAGTGCCGAATCCCTTCATCGCTTTACGCAAGATAGTAGCGTCCGCATTTGGATCGAATGGTTCAGCGGGATACACAGTTGGAGTGCACTAAAACATAATAAATTAAATTAATAATCAAATTTTGCAGAATCTCCGACAGAATTGAAGGAATCTGTTTAGAGCGACTTTAATCAAAGTTTT